AACTAATTTGAATATTAAAAGTGGTTAGGTTATACATGTACCTGTAATGAGTCACCAACATTAATGAAGAATGAATTTTGATCAGGAGGGATTGAAATCCAATTGCCATCTTTCAATGAGATTTGAAGACCAGAAGTGTTGTTAGATCTCAAAACAGAAATGATTTGTGGGTCAGTGTGTTCACCAAAACCAATCAAATTTCTGCCCTTAAACTGATCATCAGGGCATGGAGGGTAATGATTCAGCCTGAAAACAGAGTCACTCTCTTCATCCATAAGAAGCTTACTGAACGTATTTCTTGGCTGAATCTTCAGCCCTTCAGCCAACATTTCAAGAATCTCACAAGCCATTTTCTTAACGGATGACACGTAGTCATTCACGATACAACTTCAAAAACATAAGGAAAACAGAACCAGTAAGAAAATCGACAAGGTACTGAACTAGACAGTATCATCGAGTAACTTACCGAAAAGTCTCTTGGGATTCGCCAGAATTTGATGCAAATTTTTGGTTATTGACATCAGTATTGGTTTTTAAGAGAATGTATTCAATCCAACCAACATCTCCATTGGTGCCAATTTTCTTGTTGCCATAGCCAAAAGGGTCGGGAGGGCCTGCTTTTTCTTTTTCAGGGAGAGGTAAAGAGAAGAATTGAATAGCTAGAGATTCTAATTTGGTTATGAATTCAGTTGGGACACCATGATTGATGACCTTAAGTAATCCAAATTCTCGGTAGGCCTTGACAAGAAGGCTGTTTAAGTTGGGCTTCGAGAGGTCAATCAATGGTACACCATGGAATAATGTGGTGTTGTTAACTAGAGATAAGTGTTCAATAACCGCTGGTTTGGACAAGACAACCATTGGTGAAGGTTTTAAGGTTTTGAAATGATAAGAATGAATTCGAGGATAATGAAATCTGTGTAGTGGAGAGATCAGATTGTTATACAATAGGCTTTGTATGATCAATAAGCAGGAGTATACATGGCTCAAATGCTGCTTACATATTTATAGGGCATTTTGGAGAGAGATGCGAGTATAGTATTCAACATTACATTATCCAAACTTGACCTAACTCTGAATAAAAATATTTTTGTCATGAACCTATTGGATTAAGACCGACACTCAATATTTGTTTCTAAGCATTTATTAAACCTCTATTTATGTCTCTTACATAAATTGAATTAATTATAATTTTTGAAAATCATTAAAGAAACTATACTATGTGATATGATACAATATAGATAACCATAAAGTGTTTTTTGTAATAATTATATTAAATTTTAAAACATTTTTATATGGCGGTTGAACTCACGTAATACTTGAAATAAATTCTTAACTTGTTTCTAAACTGAAATTAAGAAATTATAAAAATCTTAAAAAGAGAAAAGAAAAAAGATAATTTCAGACGTAGGCACAAGCATAAAAACAAAACTAAGAATTGATATTAATTATTATTCATATCACGGCTAAGACCGACAAGCCCGTCGTTCAACCCACCATTTTGATCACTTGAAATTTGTGGGCCCCTTTGTACACCTAATTTTTATTTTTATTTTTTCCTTTCTTTCTAATTATTAATTTTTTGGTCTATTAATGTTCAACTTGCCTCCATGCATAATCCAATTAATACGCCTATAGTGGTACACATTTATAAAAAAAAATACCACTTGAAGGCATAGTAATGAAAATTGTTATAATTTTGTTCAATAATATAATAATAAGTAATTTGGAATGATCAAACATCCATATGAGTGCATCAAATAAGTACGAAAATAACCACAACCTGTAATGGACGATCGCCCAAATTAATTTTTTTATTGTTGGGGTTTGAGCCTCATTTTTGTGTAAAATACATTTTGAAATAGTAGATTGATGGAGAATGTATAATTAATAATTTAAGAAAAAGTTCTTAGGTTACGTGCAATATTATTTTATTGAAGAACGTGTGGTTAAAAAAATATATATATTTTTTGAAAAAAATGGGGATCAAAACAAGAGCTCAATTTCTTTAGTGTTAATTGAGTTTTGGAAGTAAAAACACTTTTGCTTATCTATAAACCATTTGTTAGAGTCAACCTAAGCACCAATTAAATTTTAGAATGGGCAAATATCATTTGAAGACAACAATTTCATGTTATAGTCTTTCTATCAAATATTTTGTGTTCTTGATTATACTTTATCTTTGTTCTCTTCTCCAATTTTTGAATATTTTTATATTCAACCAAAAATTTCAAACAATATTTTTATGGAGAACGAGACTATTGAAACAATCAAAGTTATGAATTAAGATCTTGTTCGTTTGAATCAATTCATGGAATGAACTTCACTCGGTGGCAAAACAAGTTGGAATTCCTTCTCACGACGTTGAAAATCTTTTACATACTTGATCCTGATTTGGCATCACTTTCGGAACCAACGGATGAATATTCCAATGCCATAAAAGCGGAAAGGCAAAAAGGTCAAGAGGATGAATTGATTTGCTGTGGTTATATACTCAATGCACAATCCAATCATTTGTATGACATTTACACCCACCCTTGGTAAAAGAGATATGTAATGGTTTGGAAAATAAATACAAATTCAGAGAAGAATGTACAAAAAAATTCCTGATATTGATGTATTTCAATTTTAAGTTTCTTGAAAATATCCCCATTCTTCCTCAAGTGCATGTCAACAAATTAAAAGGCAATCAAGATTGAACTTCTGGAATCGTTCCAAGTGGGAGCAATCATTACTAAATTCTCGGGAATTTGGAAAGGATATCGAAAGAAAATTCTTCATAGTTCCAAAGATTACTCTTTAAAACAAATTCAAAAACATCTTCAAATTGAAGAAGAATCGAAGATAAGAGATATAGTTGAAAACTCTTATAAAGACACTTCAAATGCAATATCGTGGAAAAGGTCGAGCCTTTCAACAAATTCAATAAGAGAAAAACTTCTAACAAAGACTACAAAAAGTTTAAGTAGAAGTTCAAAGAAGATTGTTTTGTTTGTGGGAAACCCAGATATTTTGAAAAGGAATGTCGACATCGAAAAAAAAATGAGAAAAAAGGCGAAGTGAACTCCATTGATGAAGATAATATTGTATGGCTAAGGTGAAGAGGCAATGAGCCTTGTATGGCCAAGGTGCATAGTTACAGATGAGACTTTTGTATGGCCGAAGTGAATAGGCAATAATGAAGCCTTGTACATCTGGGGTGCCTAGGCAAGGATGAAGCCTTACATGGCCAAAGTGAAGAGGCAATGATGAGACCTTGTATGGCTAAGGTGCATAGACAAGGATGAGGCCTTGCATAGTTGAGGTGCCTAGACAAAGATGAGGCAATTGCATTCCTCAAATATAACCCATTTTTCAGGGATCTTCCTTTCATGACATCGCTTCAAAGGCCTCCTATTTGTAAAAGGGGCTTCCAATAGTCTATTCATCAATGACCTTCCTTTTAGGGGGTTTCTTTATTCATGGCGTCTTCTTCAGAGGCATATCCCTTTGTTCGCTAAAATCTATACCGCAAGCGCACGGGTCGCGTTCAAGTAATAAAGTGGACCAAAAGAATCCGGATTGTCGATCCCACGAGAAATGTATACTTTCGATTACTTGACTCTAATCGATTTTAATTTTAATGACAAAAATAAACACACACATTTAAAGACATGGATTTAAATGCAGTAAATAAACTAACAAACTACAAAATAAGAAAATAAGGTGTCTTGGCAATATCGGAGGGAAAAGTGTGGTTGGAATTTACGATATCGCTTAACCTATTGTTTCATTAATCTCGAATCAATAATGTGCCGATGCATATTACCAAAATGCGATAGTTAGACCCGATTCTCCTGTTTTAGTTAAGACCCCATCTCGAGGTCATATTAACCCTAATCGACGTATCTGTAAAGTATATCTCTATGTCGATACAAACATAGCCAACAACATGAGTTTTTGTGAAAATAGCTCAATGGATCACTCAAAGTAGGTGTATATCTCTATATCACCTAAACGCGCAAAAGATACACTAATGCAAATCCGAGGCATCAATCATTTCGGTCTATTTAATGTAACTATTTTTCAACAATCACATCAATACCTAATTACAACATTTAAGCGTCACCAAAAATGAAGTAAAACCTAACAATTCCATCTAGTCGTCAATTAAATGAAATCATTTTAAACATGATGATTAATACACTATGACTTTGATAACAACTGCATTTTTCACTAAATATGTAAATATATCGATAATCAATGAAACAAATTAGGTTAAGTTCAATCCATAAATTCCAACACAAAATACTTAGCTCATTTTATAGATATGAAAACAAATGAGATATTTAACAAATTCATTACAAGTTTGACAAAATAAATTGAGAAAAATCAAAGTTTAAAGATAAAACCATTTTGAAGTTTGGAATTGATTTTCTCTCAACTCTTTGCCAAGTCCTTCGTAGTAATCTCCTTATACTCTATGATTTCACCTCCAAAATATGAGCCAAGAATACAAAAGAAAAGAAAAAGAAAAGAAAACAAGAAGAAGAAGAGAGGAAAGAAGAAAAAAGAGAAAAAACTAAAAAACTAAACTTAAATTTAACAAAAAAAAAAAAAAACTAAAACTATCCTCGTTCTCTTCAAAAACCGTCCCAGGCACATGTATATATAGATAGGATATTTTGTTTTCTTAAAAATTAAGTTTTATAAATATCTAGGGACATTTGCAACCAAGGTCCCCAATGTTTTGGAAATTAAACAAAATGGTCCCTCAACTTTGATTTAGTACAATTTGGTCCTTGACTTTTGACCTTCATTTCAGTTAGGCCCTTTATACATTGCACTTCAAGTCCTTCAACTTTCAGGCTTTTGCACTTCAGTCCCCAACTTCACCATTTTGTTCACTTTTAGTCCATTTTTCATCCTTTTTCGCGTCATTCTTCTTCTTTTCGGGGTTTTCGCCTACAAAAGTAAAATTTACACAATTATGCATAGAAATATACTCAATTTCAATTCTAATTAATTTCGAAAAGTGCCGAATAAGTGTGTTTTTACACACTTATCACCCTTCTTAGGGGGTCTTCTTATTCAGTGTCACTTCTTTAGTGGCCTCTCACTTTCCAAGATGATACTTCTCATGTTGGTAGCCATTTGAGCCACTTCGGCAATTAGTCGCACAACAATTCTTCCGTCCTTTAGACATCGGTGATGGGACCTTTGGTGTGTGACATTATTTCGGATGATCTCTTCTTCAGAGATCTCCCTTACCCTCATTGGGTTCACTTCTTCATTGTTGGAACTCGTTGGTTTGGAGTTGCAAATTCTCTTCTTCCAAATAATGGAAACTTAGTTTATGTCTTCCACTTGTTCTTACTTCAAGAACAAATCCATTTTTTAAGGGAGAATATCAACAAAATATTCCGATAAGCTTTTTCTTTCGTGGGGATACTTGTGGTTACAGAAATGTTCTCACAGATGGCGTCAATCTGTTGACCTCGAAAAATGGCTCCAACACGTGGCCAACAAAATAAGTCTTCATATATGCTCCTCCATTCGCACGTTAGCACACATTAGTCACTTGTGGCCTTTTCTGGTGGGGGTGGAAGCAATCGCGAGCACTCCGACGGTCAAGTCAATATTTCAATCCACCGAAATGTGGTGTCCGGCAATGAACAGTCATCGGGACGTGGTTGAGAACTTGTGTATATATAGTGAAAGACTCTTTAGAATGAGAGACTAGAATGAAAAGATTAGAATGGGAACCCCTTCTTCTTACTAGTGTGGGGGTATTTAAACTAGAAAAAGGAAGAGGTGAGCCATTGGATGGGAGGAGATGTGGCTTCAGATTTCGGATAGGTCATCCTTTCATAGGAGTCAATCTATTAATCCATAGGTTGGCAGGCATTAAATGATTTCTGACATAGCAACTGAGTTGACCGTTTGAAGTCTGACACACGTCCCATCAATTAATCAGGGACTTGATTTTGGAGATCTCCTCATAAAATATCTTGGTAGAGGTGTGGTGAAGCGGATTGTGAATTACAATGAATGCGGAGTGCGAGCCTTTTGCATCCGCCGTGAATGGCGGAAGAGTTCGGCTCTCCCACCAGTGGGGCAATAGTGTTTCAGTTCGTAGTCAAGGAATCAGTTCGTCCGAAATGAATTCAATTTGTCTACCAAGTTGCGACACCAGATCACTTCGTCCAACACGTGGCGGATGAGGTGGAGGGCCCCCGAAGGCCCTTAACACTTTTCGAGTAAATGTAGATATATTTTTTATCTAATCTATTTTTTAATTTCGTGTAAGGCTACTACTATTACAGTGCTTATTGATTAATGTGAAATTTTGATTCATTATTCTTTTGTTTATCTATCAATGTTTTAAAATCATTGTTCAACCAGTGATTTTCATTTGAATATTTTGGGGAATGAATTCTTGACTTCAATTCAATTGACCTATGTTGGTGGTTCTTGTGCTTGCCTTCAAGAGCAGATAAGCATTACTTGCCTACCTGCACACATTAATACATACCTGATATGTTGGCTTTCCATTATAGTCAAATTATGGAGCTGATGTATTTGTTGTGCAAATTAGTTATCCAAACGTATTGTACAATATTAGAATATGTTGAAGACGAGATACTGTATCATGAGATGAAATTTGCTAGTATCTTAAGAGTTGTTCTAGTTTGCATCACCATCCAGTTCTTTTTCTGATCTCAGCTATTGGAAAGGCTGGAAAGCTCAATGGTTATGTCAAAGGTTTTGACTTCTTCCCAAGACAAGATTCACAGAGACTAAATCAAAGGCACATCTAGAAGGTAAAACCAACAGCAAAGTAATGTTATGCGTAGGATCATCCGCTGGTGTTATCTTGACAGGGAATAATGAATCATGGATGACGTAAGTGCTGTCAAAATGATCTCTTTGCGGCTGTTGGATAGATCAAGTGTCTACTACGTATGTTTTTCTGTTTATTTATTATTATAGAGGTTGATTTAGTTGCTTACATAATGTATTAAGGGATAAAATCCCACATCGAATAAAGATGTAAATATAAACCAACTTATAAAGAATTAGATTACTCCTCTTAAGAAGGTTGACATTTTAAGATGGAACTTCAATTCTTAACATGGTATCAGAGCTCATTAAGCTCTAACGAGCAATTCAATCCGGTTAAGACTCCAAAAGTGAGCATATGGATTTCAAGATTGGTCCGATCAAACGAACCACCATTTTGCAGGGGCATGTTAAGGGATGAAATCCCATATCGAATAAATATGTAAACATAAACCAATTTATAAAGAATTGGATTATGTTATTTCTGGAGTATCTCCTTTCGAACAATCTGACAGAATTACCTTAATAAATTTGCACAGCGTAACGGTATGATCAACAGAATCAGAAAATTAATTCGAGCCCACCGACTTCACGATATTTCCTTAAAACGAATTTGCTGCCTTCAAAAGGTGCTTAAGGCGTTCAGCAATCGTTTCCCAGGATAGAACGAATTTCGTCTCCNGAATTTTTCCTACCCATTCCTATGATGAGACAGTGCATAACTGCCGCGAAATAGGATAAGTTACGCTTTTAATGATTTCTATATCTTGATTCGTTCAAGTGGAGTATAGCAGAATACTCTTTATGGAAATCACCTATGTGGGTGAGAAGGGGCCGCTTCTAGGAGAGTTATGTGAAGATTAATTCTCTAAAAACCGCTCATGAACCAGGAGGTGTCCAAGGCCAAAATGGACACAAACGTGAGAACCAATTGTGTTCGAAGGAAACTGTGTGACTTCTATTGTCTAGGTGTACAATAACGGCTGACTGTTCAAAGCATCTTGCTACTAATTGGCTAAGTATATCCGATAGATTTTACTAGGGAAAGTTCAAAGTCTTTGGCGGTGGCGCGCGCGTGTGGGGTTTGGACCGACTCCCATAGGATATAGGTCTCCCCTCTTCTAAAGACTATTGGTACCCCTTGGGGCCCAAACCCAATTCCCAACCTTACACTATATAAACCACATCAAAGTTTCATAACTTTCCTATGTGGGACAAGTGTGTGGGAATTTTCCAATAAATCAAATTCGTCACTAGTTCATAGTTTCAAGTGGGTTACTTTGACATTAAATATTTCATTCAATACTAAATGGTTTTCGACAAATAAATATATCATGTTGATCCTCTTGCGGAGTAGAACATGAATATGCTAGGTCCCGTTGAAATTAAGGCACGGGTCCCACTAAAATTTGGGCTCAAAGTTGACCCATTTCGCTAGTAGTAAAACCATTTTCCAACAGATTACTCCTCTTAAAAATGTTGATCATTTAAGATAGAACCTCAATTCTTAACATAATGAGAATATCATTGTGTTTTGACACATACCAGCCCCCGTCTAACTCTTCTTCATCCTTGGAAGCTCGGGCAATCAGGGCCTCTGCAGCCCATCGAGACTTCTCTCATACTTCAGCCTATGCCAACAACTCTGCTTTCCATCCATCTTTCAAACACCATTCCAAGTTGAAGTTGGTGTTTTCCTTCCCTTCCCTTATCTTCTATTCTCTCCGTATTAAAATCTGACAAACAGATTCGTCCAAATGTTATATCTAATTAATTAAATTTCAATTTAGAACATGGGATTTTGATTCTTGCATGGTATGGATCAGAATCATCCATATGTTTGCAATGATATCAATTAACAATTAAATATTCAGACTAGCTGCCACGTTTCTTTATCTCCTTCTACCTTGAAATCTACTTATGTATGTGATTCCTCAAAATATAGGGAGGTCCTATCTACGATTAATTCAAAATGAGTGAAGCAAAATTATAGTTTGGTAGGTTTCAGACACCATCTTCACAGTTAACAATATTTTAAAATCGAAAAAACATTCAAGCACTGAAGCAAGTAAATCTTATTTGAAGTATATTTGAACAAATACAAGTCCTCCGATATTTTCCAAAGTTTTTTAATGGTTTTAAGTTTACACACTTTTCTCAAAACGGCGTCGGATAAGTATAAAATGATTGAAGTGTAAGCAAACTCATCGACTTCTTTTTGTTCTTTCAAAAAATCAGCAGAAAAAATTGCCTTGAATGACCTTTGAAATTTTTTGTTGAACTAAAATACTTTCATTTTTTGTTGTTAGATTGAAAAATCATATTTTTTTTTGTTAAAAATTTCCAAATTCAAAATTATAAATTATCATTTTAGATTCCCAAGGTTTCGTAAGATTCACAATTATACAGAATCAATCACAATTAAGACACAAAGTAGTTCTAGGGTCTCAGACAATATACACCATTTTAGTTCTCATGTTTGATCCACATTATTTTTTTCATTTTCATTCTTCTACTCATTTTCAATCACACATTCTTCAATAAAATAATATTTTACATCATATTAATAACTTTTCTTTCTTTTTCGACCACACGTTCTCCATCAATTTACTATTTCGAAATACATTCTTCCAAAATAATGTGACTCAAACACACCCTAATATATATGCATTGACTTCAAAATTTAATAACTTGGAAGATTAATTGTTCAAGTTATTTCATATTCACTTGGAACATAATTTCTACAATAAAATTAAAAGTTTGTTAAATTAATAGAGGTGAATTGGAAAAAAAAATATTGTCTAATTAAAATTTGTTAATTTGTATAAGTATGAACTTCTATGAATTTAAGTAATTATTTTATGTATACGTTGAGCTTTAAATGATCTAAAAAAAATTAGTATCTTATACATTTAGAGGGGTTATTAATTTAGTACAATGACTAAATCGGAACCGAGAAATTTTATTATTTAAGCAAGATTATTAATTTATCAAATATTCATTTATCGAGATTTTACAGTAGCATTATTCAAATTCAATTTATCTCCAGTAGAGACTATAAAGCCACATCACATAGAAATCATGTCTAGTAGAAATAAATAGCAATACTCTTAAAAGATTCGCTCACTTAATTGACACCTAAATTACTGTCAAATTGGGATAGTAATAACAGGCCGAAGACCCGTAATTATATAGGAAATATGGCAATCATCTTGGAGAGTCTGCCTGGGCTCGATCCTATAAACTAATGGGCGAGGGGCAACTCTCTGATGAGAAAATTACCTAAATCCAGGTATTTAAGTTTCCAAATTCAAAAATCAGGTGTAATGTTTATTTAATCAAAAATCAGGTTTTAATTAAATAAAATCCTAATTAAAACATAATTTTCAATATGTTTCTCCCTCTCCGTCTCTCACCTCTCTCCCTTTCCGTCTCTCACGTCTCTCCCTTCTCTCTCACCGGCCACTACACCATATCTGCCGACGGTCGCTGTGGTGGTTTTTGGCTGTGGTTTTGGCCCGGTAGTTGCCATTTTCTTCTTCTCAGGCGAGATCCCAAAAGTGTCGGCGCCGGCAGCCAGAACTGATTTAATTAAATCCTTTGAAATTCCATGATTAATCACTACCAAGCAACCGACCTGAGCAATAATCTCCACAACTTTCAATTCCGCCCTATTTTCAATCGATTCAAGTGACTGCATATCAAGTTTCAGAGGATTTTGAATGGCTTTTTGACGAGGAAAAACCCTATCTGGTAAAATAAGATTTGGAACTTCATCATTAGTGAGAGATGATCGGCAACCGACCTCAGCCTTGTTTTATGGACGATGAGCGTGTCAAGAAGTTGAAGGGGTTGGGACTCTCCTTGAGTAAGATTGAGACTGTCTGGAGTGAGGATACTAAGAACCCAAAGCAAAAAAAGTACAGGATGTTTTGGCGAAGTTTTCTTCGAATGCAGATGTTATTGCTATTGGAGATGCTTTCTTTGCAGATGTGGAGAGAGATTGGGTGATGCAACCTGGTGGTCCCATTGCCCACAACTACAAGACTTTAATTGAGCCCAGTCGACTCATTATACTCACTGCTCAGCGATTTATTCAGACATTCCTGGGAATGGATTTTGTAGCTCTTAATTTCAGGACCTAAGTTTTGAAGACTCTTGTCTTATTTCATTAAGTTTTGAAGACTCTTGTCTAATAGATAGAAAATTAAGTTTTAATTGAGATAAACTTTGCTTCTGGAGAGAGAAAAGATTCAATGTATTAAATAATAATAAGAAGTTGTTCTTAATCCAAGCTACATCAAGAGACTGCGATAAAGATGTTGAGATGGAAGAAGATGGGCCATCTGAGGAGCAAATTCTAGATATGCCAGAAATTTAATTCCATACAATTGCTGGATTTCGATATTCTAAAACCAGAAAGTTAGAGGTTATCTTTGTGACCGTTTGTGACTAGTTAATTGTGACTCGTTGTAACCATTTGTGATCGATTGTGACTGGTTAATTGTGACCAATTATGACCGATTATAACTTGAAATTCTGAAAAAAAATTTAGAAGTTGGGAATGGGTGGATGGGGTGGGTAAGTTGAAGTTGTCGGAGTGGCGTTGGAACAGTCTAATCCAAATCGCGATTTGATTACCGGGTAGTTCATTGTGACCGTTTGTGACCGATTGTGACCATTTGTAGCCTATTGTGACCGTTTGTGACTGATTAATTGTGACTCATTGAGACCGATTGTGACCGTTTGTGGCCAATTGTGACCAATCCATGGGTTGGGGGTGTGATTTTCAATTTTCTGAAAATTTTGAAATTGTCGGAACGATCGCCGGAGAAGTCGCCGGAGCAGTGGCCGGACCGTCGCCGGAGCAGTGGCCGGACCGGTGCCGAAAATGGAGGGTAGTGGTGTAGTGAGGAGATGGGATGGGTGAGGTGTCATGGGGTGGTGTAAATAATTAATATATATTATATTATAGTTTAATATTTAATATATTATAATTTAATATTTAATTAATTTATTTATCACTTGATTTTTGAAATAATTAAACAAATTTGTTAGTTTTGAAATGTGAACTTTAAAACTAGTAGATATGTATTGTTCCCCTCTCTGATAGGGGCCGAGTATCAAAGGGCCCAACTGGATACTTGGACAACCTTTTGTATCTCGAAAAATGGCTTAATAGCAGAAAACCCTCTACCTATTAGAAAATATGCGAAAAAACCTACCTATTAGAAATAATAAAATGGGTCCATGTTTGAAACCTTTTTGTGCAAAATACCACAACGATGTCATGTTCCGTTAGCTCTGTCATCAAATCCCTAATAAATAAGGGGAAAAATTGAAAGGGCAAAATCCCAACCTATTAGACATGGTGCGCAAACCCTCCTCCACTTATCAGGATTGGGAAAATACATCTGCTGTCTATTTTCTCAATGAAAAAATTGAAAATGACGAGGATTACAAAGATTTCTTGAGCCAGCTAAAATTGGGTTTTTGTCAGGCTATTGAGGGTTTCTTAGAATTTGGCAAAGGTTTGTTTTGTTATCATGTGATTAAGCTATGATAGCTTGGAGGTGGGGTCTTTGGAAGGTGGGGAAATCAAAGCAGAGGAAGAAGAAGAAGAATGGTGATGCTGAGGAGACTGGGTGCCAAATATTTTTTGGTGGCGACAGTGGGCAACTGATGGTGGCGGTGATGGAAAGTAGGGATAGGGAGGAAGATAAATTGCCTTTTTTCATTTTTCATTTTTAATTTTAAACTTTTAAATATTTATTTGAAACCATTTTGTACTGTTTCAAAAATTTGGAATTATAGTTATAATTAATTCTTTTTATTTTATTTAAACAAGATGGTATAATCATCATTTTCAATCTTTTTATTGAAAAAATGGACAACAAGAGAGGGTACTTCACGAATTCCAATAGGTGTGAAGGATTTTGCTCACCATGTCCAAGAGGGGGTTTTTGCCCTTTCTATTTTTTCATCTATTTATTGGGATTTAACAGCAGAACTAACGAAACATGAAGGTAGGTAATATTCCGCATAAAAGGTTTCAAACAAGGACCTTTTCTGCTATTTTCAATAGGTACGAGAGTTTTCTGCACAACATCTAATAGGTAAGGGGTTTTCTGCTATTATGCCCTCGAAAAATATATACACATCACTTTTGGTAAAGTACCTTCTTGGCTTAATTAAGGACCAATAGTTTGTACCATCTGACTAGCTTCAATAATCTAAATTATATTTTACAATTAAGAGAACAAGTTTGAGGACCCTTTCCTTTCCCATATTTTACATGTGCTCCACAATTAACACTGCCATGCTTTCCACCGTCGTCTCTCCTCGCAGGTGGATGAGAATCCAAAATATAGCCCCTCCTTTCCGAAACAAATCTTGTACCGGGTTTACTTCCGGGAAATATGCTACACGAAACCCTTCTTTGAGAAGAATACAAAGAATTGAAGATGGAAGGGATTGGATCCACATTGCTTGCATCAAAAGTATCAACAGTACTAAAAGAGTCTCTGGTGCTATCAGTAGTAAAAGATGCATCATCTGAGCTTGTAAAAAGCAACCAGTCAGTTGATGTAGCATCTGAGAACTCCTTCACATAAGTTTCTACAATTGGAGCTCCTCCATTTCTATTTTCTCTCCTAAGAATTCCACCGCAGTTTGGGTCGGACCTCCAAACTAGATAAGGTTCTGAGCAGATAAAATTGTAACTTACTTCACTTTGTTCTCGCACCGAAGACTTTTGGGGTTTTGAAGGCCAGTGCTTTCGAAGCCCAGGAGTTTCATATCTGGTGATTTTCCTTGTGCAAGCTTTAGTAGGTCGGGGGGACGACCTGAACAAACATATATGAATTGCAAATGCTTTATATGTTTAGCACAAGGGAAATCAGTGGAGCATGTTATCAGCAGATGCAAAAATATAGGAAGCAGAGGGTCTTAAAAATGAAACAAGGAACCGAACAAAATTATAAATATCAACAATGTCAAATCCACATCATAATTTGTCCTACAAAGTCGGCAAATGTAGCTACAAGAGTTCACCCATGCTATAAAATTTACCTCATGTAGAATAAAATATAAGCTCCTTCCAACATCACCTGCGTCATTTTTGCTGGCTGGACCTGCATTTAAATATATAAATATTTGATGGATCCTAATATCCAAGAGAAGTAAAAGAATGCAGGCTCCGTAATGCAAAGATTCTCCAGTCATGGGAGTCGTCCACGAGTGTGAAGCCTCTAAATTCGATCACTATGGCATGGCTTAGTTGATAGTTGTTAGCAACAAATGAGGGAATCTATCTTTTAAAGAGAGAACAGAATTAAAGAAAAGAGACAAAAAGAACAAAAAATGGGGACTTCCACCTGCACTAACTGAAAAGGAAAATAAAAAATAAAATGGCAAAACATGAATTAAATCTAACAAACAAATGGATATCATATCCAAAATCATTATGAACAAACTGAAAGTAATTTCACCAAGGCCAAAACTTTCATCTTCACGTGAAGAAAAAGGATAAGGAAAAGGAAAAGGAAAAGGAGAAATTGAACTAATTGTACATAAGTTACCTAATCAATACAGTAAAAATTGAAAAAAAAAAAAATCACCTCCGCATCATCAATCCTGAACCAATTGCCTTGTAGATCTTTGACATAGGAGATATAATGTCCAGAAAAAGATGCATTTAATGTATCCAAATGCACAACTACCCCATAAAGCATGTAAAGTGGAGGTATGTCATCTGTCCGTGTCATAAATGGGATCATATCCAGCATTTCAGGAAAAGTGATGCATTTATTAATCTTGCCATAATTTCCCTCCTGAAAATTACAGAACAAGATTACATCAACTGAAAATCAGAAACTAAAACAAAATCTGAATGTAACAAAAGTGCATGTTATCTGATCAAATCTCTAGAAAACCACTATCCAGAATGCGCTTGTGAATTGTTTAACTGTTTTTAGCATCCTGTCATTCAACATCATTAAGTTAAGCTTTAATAAGTTTGCGAATTTGGATACTCAGTCAAGGCCCAAACAATTGAACTGTATCCTAGCTAATAAAATTCATACAGATGCCTGCAAACTCGTAAAAATTCAGTACTTATAGAACCTAAGAAGCACGGATATTTGTGAACTTATTGCATACCCGTATCTAATACGTATTCAAGCTTCGATACGCTTGGACACTCAATTGGTGTAATGATTATTAACTAACAATTTTGAAGAAAGTAAATGTGTTTTAAGATAATAGATAACTACACAATTTATACTTATTACTGAAAATAGTAGTTCATTCGTCTCATAAAGATAAGTTAGGTTTCCTTTTTCATCTCGTAAATTATAAGCCACTTTCCTTATTAAAAGTATAGATATTTTGTAGTTTTCTAATATGTCCCCATTTAATATACCTTGTTACAACAAATATAAACTAATCATATTTAAATAATTATTTAATGTAAGGTTATATTAGGACAAATGTAAAAAAATTATATTTCCAACTAATATTAATTACTATTTCCGTCCCATAAAAATAGACTTGCTTTCCTTTTTTGTCCGACACAAATTATAGGCTACTTTCCTTATTGAGAGTATAGTTTATTTTTCAGTTTCCTAATTATGCCCTATTTATTGTACTTTGTTATAAACAAATATGTACTCATATTTAAACCATTATTTAATGTAGGAGTATATTAGAAAAAATGTAAGAAAAATTTATGTTTCCAAATATATTAATTACATTTTTTTTTAATTTATGTAAAATTAAAACGAGTCCATCTTTATGGGATGGATGGAGTACATTTTCTTAACCTGTGTGAAAATAAAAACACGCTTATCTTTATAGGACGGAAGAAGTATAGTGTTAAAAAATGAAATTTACACTTATTTTTATTGTCAGATTTCTGTATTAATGTTTTTATATAGTTAAAAATAAATTTATGCCAAATTTTATTTTAACTTACGAAAAATACCACACAAATTATACCCCCATTTGGCCCCCATTATTTGAAATTTTAATCGTTGAAATAGTTTTTTTTTTTTCGTAAATGTGTAGTTAAAAAAGAAGAAAAAGTTTTGGAATTACTTGTAATATTATTTTATTAGAGAATTTGTGGTTTATAAGAAGATAGAGAAAAATAAATTATAATTTTAATAAGGGGCCAAACAGAGACTATATACACACACACACGTTTCCACATATCCTAAGTTTTGTTTAAAAGTTGTATAGATGTACCTGTATCACATCGTATTCAAAATACGTATCAGAACCCGTGCTTCTTAGTATAGAAGTATATATTTATAATAACATCCGGATGAAATAGAAGAATATAGACATCTAAAATGTAAACTGGCTACTCATTGGTTCGAGAACATTAGGCGTAACTGAGCAATACCTGAAATCTCTTCAAAATAATAGTCAAGATGTTTGGAGCCTCTTGAATTCTCAATTGCTTCCTTGCTCGAACATATGCAGCACATCTTTTATGGAAACATATTAAGAACCATAACTATTTGACTATAAACCACAGAATGTGAAAATTACAGGGAAAGTGAAGCAAGTTAACTCACCTTCCACATCTATACATATTTTCCCCGTCAAGATCTTCTGGACTTGTAAATTGTGTCAATGCATCTTCCAGAGATTCAACCCAACCAAATATCTCTAGTGAAAGATCCATTATGTTTTCATATCGCACTGATTCGTGATGACATCTCAAACATTTAACCTGATAGTAATAAGATTAGTGCAGCAGAATTTTCTAGAGGTTAACATAGCAATATATAACAACAAATACGTTTCAGAAGCAGCAAAATTTGGAATGACTTAGCGATGATCAAACACCTTTGACATAAGGCGTCCCCCAAAAGTATGCTGTATAAAGGTTGTATCCTGCAGCCAGGGATCAACCACATTCTCTCCTCCCAAGGACTCCAAGCATATAGATTGCATTGAGGTAACAAGAAGCCTGAGTACAAAAGACATTACATCAAGGTGTTATCTTCAGATTCTTCTGGAAAAATTTGAAGTCCAAATTCATATCCATGTTTAACTTTTTCAAAGAAGTAAATGAGGATAAACGACATCTTTAGGAAGATGTTTAAACTTTGATCTTCGAAAATCAAAAAGAAGGAAAAGGCAGAGTGAGTGAGAGAGACTATCCATGACAGCTACAGACCTTAAAAACTCATGAGCATCTTCCTGACTTCCATCACCTAGCTGGCAACTAATACTCCTCATATGCACAAGAATTCTGTTAGAAGACAAAGGACCCCCACTTTCTCTCAACATCATCGCATGTTGCTCAAGCTCACACAGGAGGCACCAATCTCTTGCACAGCCTGTTGCATACAATAGATTTTAGGCAATTCTTCCTCATGCAATAGCAAAATGCCTTCGCCAACAATTTAAAGAGAGAAATATAGGACAAAAATTACAAGTTCTAGAATGTGATCTACGAAGCAGATAAACAGTCAGAGGCTTTGTGCACACCAGACATTGCAGCACGGCATTGGCATAACAACTGCAGCACATCAAATGAAAAGAAAATGAAGTATTATTAACAAAGTCTGATGTGGAATTATTTTTTCAACTTCATTTCATATTTTATCAAACATTCACAAAATCTGGAAAGGGAAAAAAGAAAGCTACAGTGCAATTACCTGTTCCCACAATTTACAAGTCCTCTAGGTGACAGGTTGAGAACTTCATAATGATAGCACCTCACAAATTCTTCATAAGGAAATAGCATCTGTGCCTTAAAACAGGATATCATAAGAAGAGTTTCTTAACAAATTTACTAATTTCATGAATCAGGTATCAATGATGCTCGCACAGTTTCAGATGAATTAGAATCAATTATTTTCCAAAATGTTAGAAATGTTGTGTGTTGATTGGTTACAGCTCTATCTGAGTTTTCACAAGGAGGGAAAAATTCTTTTTAGAGTCTGACCTTCACTTTCTTATGCCTCTCAACATTTTCTTCCAATTGTTCCTGTTGCTCAGGTCTTGGTGACTTCGCTAAACCAACCACCCTCGTAATTCCTAGGCTTGCATCCCCATTGCTTCCCAGTAAAGAGCCATTATCCTTTATTCTAGCAAGTGCTGCATTAAAACAATTTGGTAAGCAGGAAGAAGCTAGAGTCCATTGCAATGAATAGCAATCCATAAAACCTACTTGATTTGTCAGCAATGTGACCTTTGATATCCAAATATGAGAAAGACTGCCCTCTAGATGTTTTTGCCCCTGATTTTGGTGATTTATGCAGTTTAGTTCCTTGAGCATGCAATGAATTTCTGCACTTACTGCTCCTTTTCATTGAAGTCCTCTCAGAAGAGTGGTTTAAGCCTGGTGCTTCATTGTTAGAAGTAATTCCTTTCCTAGGTAAGTTTTCTGCATCAATCAAGTTCACTTGATTGTCCCGTGAATTTGTCCGATTGCTGCACACAATTGATGAGTTTGAACGACTACAATTGCATCCGTATTCAAATGGGTGATGACTTTGCATTTCCTTTATAACTCTTTCCCGTACAGCACATTCTGAATGCGCATGTGCATCCTTGAGTGGACCAGATATGTTGCCGTGATTCTCTGTGAGAACAGGGTCACCTCTTTGCTGCAGCATAATGTACACAAAAACTTAATTATATAAATAGAAAGATGTTATAGTTTAGATAATGTGATTAATAAGAATTAGAACCTTATGTCTAGTAGAAGCTTTCTTCTTTGGGCTATTATACAACAAGGTGGAACAGATAACATCATTACTAAAAGCTGGGTCATGACACTCTAATATGGCTCCATCTGCTTCCCTTGACATGTCATTGTAGCTTTTAAGATAGGTACCCTTGTCTACAGATCTTCTATTTATGATGGGTAATCCAGATGCATTTGTTATCAAATCAGAAGTAGTTGAAGCCTGTATGCTTAAATGATGATTAATAACATTATCTGAAGATGTATTCTCAAGCGTAGGCTGCTGCCTGTATTCAAATAATTTTAAATCAATGGTTTCATCAAGCAAGGCTTTTCCAGTGAATTCTTCACTCATAGCAGACTTGGGAGATGAACTGCTGCAGCTGTTTCCCAATTGCTGACACTCAAGCTTGTGAACTTGCCTCCAATGGATAATCTGACACCTCCCAGAACTGTGTGAATGTTGTAATTGAAGAGTATAAATTATTACAGCATTTAAACAAATTTTATGCATTACTAGCAAACATGTAAAGAGCATTATATAAAAGTAACTTGTAACCTATAGAAAACATTGTAAGCACAAGATACAAATTATATTACAACTTTAAGGAAACAAAATCTATGACCATTAGAACATGAAAGAAAGCGATGGATTATTTTATGAAGCGTGATATAAAACATTCAAATTCCATTCTCTTTTAGTCAAAAATAATTAAAAAGATTTTCAAGGGCATATGGCAGAAACATGCAAGAAAAAGATACAGCATAAACATATAATTGGTCAAGCATACAAAGGTTTATCATTAAATGAATAATTTGAGTATATACCAATATCGAGCAGACTTGCATCGGGCACACCGAGTTGTAGCTGGACCAGAGCATCTCGCACACTGATTACTTCCAATATTTGGCAAAGGCACCAGAGGGATACCACTGGCAGAAGACATGTCTTCTACGACAAGAGCTTCTTCAACAGTTCTTTGAGCTATCAAATTTATCCTCTCTTTGTTTTTTGCAGATTCATTCCATTTTCCTAGTAAGAAGTATGTAACCAAGGGAAGCACAACCAAGAAAAGAAGAAGAACAGGTATATCGGTTTCCCTTGGCTCAAGCATGTCCCCACCAGAATATTCATGTCCAATTTATCTCAAGAAAAATATTTCAAGAAGACCAGTCTCCTTTAGCTACCTGACCCCAGCTACTTAGCATTCAGGAGTTGGTAGCACTGAGTCAGAGACACAATGGAAAATAAATCTTGTGTTTGCAGTCCAACATTAAAGCTATCTGCAAAGTCATTGGATAAGGAGATTCCAGTTAATGAGATCATGGACTCCACATTCACACAATAACACGGCTTAAGATATGAATATAATGATACATGCCATGCAAATGATATATATTATAGAATAATTAAAGACCGCTCAGTTGCATTGAAGTTCTATAGATATTGAGAAACAGAGGAAGGGCATTGCCAAGGATCAAGTCAATGTATTTCTGGCTGGTCTTATCACACCTTGAATCAAGTTAGTAGTGATGTTGTGCTACTGATAAATGTATTTTGTACAATCATTTAATTTGAAGGAATAATTGCTTAATTCTGTATGAATTGTGTTTGCTACGTAAAGCTAGATGAAAATGGCAAAATAGGATTAAAGGGACCAAAAAGGACGAAAGGGAAAAAAATCCAAAGTTCGGGGCTAAAGTGAAAATATTCAAAAATTGATTCAGACTTCATGTCGAAGATTGGAGAATGCTAGGAGTCAATCAGACGAAAATAGGAGACAACGGGCTGAAAAGGAATGAAGGAGGATCAAAATGCACCTGCGGAAAAGTTCAAGGACCAATATGCAAAATTGGTTCCCAAGTGGAGAGCCATGAGCATGCATGGGCCTGCAGGCAATCACTAAGGGCAAAATGGCTTGCTCATGCGTGGGCAAGCCACACACCAATGGGTGTTCCTGTAAACAAAGAGTTTTGTTTCCTTTTTCAAGTTCAACCCTTCATGGTATGAACTTCTACCCTCTTTTTAACCTATTGGAGGCCATCAAGAACGTATCTTGCAACCATATAACGTAGAGAAGATGTCTAACAAGAGTTTACAAGGCAATTAACACGAGATATTGAAGATTCAAAGCTCGGATTCAAGATTCAAGACCAAAAAATTGAGTTTTCAAGTTCTTCATTTGTTCTTTAATTCAGGTGATATGTTTTTATAACTTTGTGTAATTTATATACAAACATGTTAGGCTAAACTCTATATTTGTATTGGATAATGATGAGACCATTGATCATTTATTTCTAATTTATAGACCAAGTAGTTGAGTAAATTCTCGTGTTCTTGTTTGGTTATGCGTGCTTAATTTGTTTTTTAATTTCTTGGTCACCAATTAGATAACATGTTGCTTGTTGCAGTGCTGGAAAGCTCACAATATGTTTAGAACACTGCATTATCAACACATAGACAATAGATATAAGGAATAGCAATTGTGGAGTATGCAATGTCGTCGGATAAACGTTTGATTGAATGCATGTCTTTGCATCTGAATTCGGATTATGAATAAGATTGGGTCGTACTTAGAATAGGTTTGATTTATCTTGAAAAAGAAAGTCAAATAATATAGGATTATCGATTGTCATAAGCACTTGGACAACGCTAACTACGTAAGTCAAAGGATTGGAAATATATGCCAATATGTGGATTCTGAAATCCAACACATTCATTCCATAACTTGATTAAAAAAAAGAAAAAAAAATCAAATGCATTTACATAACCCATAGCTTAACTTAGGATAATAACAAATACAAACAATCTCTTTTGTAGTATCACTTACATCGAGTTCACTACAGTTAGAATTTATTATTCGTGGAACGATACACGTAACTCATCACGTATTACATGACAACGATTTCGTATACTTGCGGGATTTATCCGAATAGCTACCTATTGTCTTCTAGCTATGTAGCCATAGGAACAAAGTTCCACTCTAAGGCTTTAGTTTTAGCTATCCAAAAGAATACCTCTCAATGAGCTCTTTCAGCCACTTCTATTAGGTCCTGCACTCATCGATAAATTACTAGACAAAAAGGAAGAGTAGTTCAAACTTAAGCAAGCTGAAAGGAAAACAAGAGATCCACTTAGATTGCTACTATTGATGCCTTTACGACTTTTGCTTCTCACCTACACAAGAGAATTTCCTCATAGAGGTAATTCTAGTTCACTTTTCATTTTTTTCTACCGCTAACACTTTAAGTTATTGATACAAGGTGCAGTGACTGTATGACTAGAAAAGATTGAAGCGCTATTGTATGTATTCCAAAGTATTTACTCCAATGTTCTAACTTATGACAACTTTTTTTAAGTCTCGTCAACTCAATCTATATCATTGGTGAATAACATACTCCAAACAACCTCATCTTGATTATGTCATAATTGCTTATCCATATTTTCAAAAAAGATGTTTAAGGTTTGCGCTTTGAGGCAGCCTCATGTGAGAAAAAGAATCATGAGAGATGGAAAGAAAGAGTTAGTAGAAAAGAGAATTTTTGTTCGAATTCAATATCAAAGTTGTCTCTAGTACAATGTATTAACTTTCTTCATATAAAGTCCTTGTTTGAGCCACATTTTATCAAAAATTCATTTTTTTGAAAACTCATTTTCAACAAGTTCTTCAATAAAATAATATTACACGTAAATCGAAAACTTTTTCTTCATTTTTAAATACACATCCTCCAAAAATCACTATTCAAAAATGCATTTTTCTCTCAAAATGGGGTTCAAACAAGGGTAAAGTTTACCTAATCTAATATAAGTAAGAAAGCAACTAATCATATAACACCTATATTATCTCAAAATATAAAATTTATGTAAATTTAAATAAAAGCAAAATCTAAAAGATAACTATGGCAAGTCTTCAAATTACATCGTTAAGGATCTCCATCACTAATCCTAAAGGTTGCTACAAAATGCACTCATTTATCTTTGCCTTTTTCTTTGCTTTTTATTTTCATTCATAGCGTTTCAGGCTTTTCCCTAATAACACAATTATTGATTATTGAATACAACGTTATTGACCTCCTTTAGTTCTCCACTCTTATTCTCCAAAATTCTCTTAGTCTCCTCCTCGATATGTTTGTGTAAAAGTCTCAAGCCCATTGATTGTTACACATATTTTAGTTTCCTTTTGCACATATCTTACTAGGTTTCATTAGGCTATATGATGGGAGTAAGTATCGTAATCACATGAAATATGCTAAAGTTTTTGGAACTCCAAGCATGCACAAGTGACTATTATATCAAACCACTAGAATTTCTAACATAAAACACTGATTGTACATGATGCATGACTTGTTCATGCACGAGTAAAGATTACAACTTGCTAATGTAGGACGATTCTATTTCAAATATGATTGATTTTATCTATTTTTATTCTCTTTTCTTCTTTAGATAGAATTTGATTTTTCTTCTTTCTTGTTTAGAATGTGATTTTTTTCATTCCTTTAAGCTAGAATTTTCGTTATTTTTCTTTTAGGATTTTATTTTAGTTTCCTTAAATTAGTAAGTTAAAAAATAATTTTACCTATAAATACAAAAGCTATGTACACTTTTTCAATAATCAATTCAATAAAAAATTATTCCCTACAAAGTTTCTAGTTTTTTAACTTCATTCTTGTTTCAAGAATTCCAATTCCGCTCTACTTGCTCATACATTTGTAAAGATAAATGGGTTTTTGTGATAAATAAAGCCCCCCATTTGACTTCCTTTAAAACAAAACAAATTATTTCTCATACTCATTTTCAACCACACATTCACACAATAAAATATTTTGCACGTATACCTAAATTTTTTCCACTTTTTAACCACATATTTTTCAAAAAAATCACTATTCAATGCATCATTTTTACAAAATAATGGCTATCAAACAGGGGCAAAATAAATGTACATAAATAAAATTTCATAATCGATACTTTTCAAATCAAAAAGCAATTTTTACTCTAGAATATATAACCTTATTAGTTTTGAATTTCCACAGTTCGTTTGTGAAAATCCACAAAAATTGAGAGATGTGTGTATACAATTATACAAACATTATAAACTATCATGTTGTCTCTAGTGTACAAATCCAAAATTATAAAATGTCCATGAATAAGGTAACTATTTTGATGAATGCATGTTGTCAAGTGAAGCTCACAAAGTGACAGAGCATGTTTAGGCGAGCTTAAAAAATATATACTATCTTATAATTCATAAAAGCAAAATTTTCATATTTGGGAGACATTGTACATATAAGTATATTAATCATATATGTGCAGAAAATTCATTTATTTTTCAGAAAAATCAATAAGATGAATTTGCAAAATGTAATTTTTGCCACGCTTTTTCAAAATTTGGCCTAAAAACAAGCCACATTTCTTCAGTCCATGTTTAGGTGTTTTGGGAGCTTATAAGCAAGTTTAACCAGCTTATTTCAAGAATAATCCCACCCAAACATGCTAATAATCGCCTCATATTTACAGGTGATGTAACCTAAGTTGCATTAATTCATCCATCTAGGCCACAGGCCACCTACACATAATAAGTTTGAAACTGAATATAATTGCAACATCTTGTAGATGACATATTCATTGCTTAGTCTATTAAGTGAAAGTCTTAAGTGACATCGATAAGATATGTTTCAGTCATACCCACTATTATAGTCAATTCGATCAGCACCTCGCATAGTCAACTTCACTAAGGGTCCGTTTGATAGGAAGGGTGGAAAATGGGTGGAAAGAAAATGTTTTACAGGGAAAGTATTTTCCTAAAAATTGTTTTCCAGGGAATTGTTAATTATGTGTGTTTGATTGGTATAATTTTCTACCCGGAAAATTTTTAAATTTTGTGTCCGTTTAGCTTCGTTTTTTATAAAAATTTTTCACTAAAGTGATAATTTTTTCTACCATTGGTTATAAAATTTGTTTCCATTGTCAAAANAGCACAGATGGAAAAGGATTTCCCACCTAAAAGGTGGGAAAAGAATTTCCCCAAAATCAAGGAACTTGGGCGCGTGAGGTAAGAGGTTAGAAAAGATTTTGCCTAGAAAAAGAAGCCATCAAACAAGTTAAAATGGGTAGAAAAAGAAATTATTTTCCATTTTCCAAGGAAAACAAGGGCTGTCAAACAGGGCCTAATAGTAGTCCAGTGCCTGATTAAAGAACGATATTAGAGAGTGGTTGGTCCATATCTCCACCATCCTATCCGCAAACTGTACAGATGAGTACTCAACTTCGGTCATCATTTGTTCACTTTGCAAGTGTGTGCTAAGCTAAGAGCTATGATGGCTTACCTTGTTAATTGCGACAACTATGTGCATTGGATTAAAGTAGCTAAGGAGTTCTTCACGATGCTACAATCAAGAATTCTAATTACCATTTGTAATGCTGAGTTAAGGACAAAATTCGAAGAGAAATTAATAACCCTGGGTCGATAAATTCCTCAACCATGGCTCACTGTCTAGTGGCCATGGGGCTTATCCCAGGAAGGCATGGCCTCGACATAAGTCCAGAGAAGATGTCAATAAACCAATGGTAGGATTGACTTTTCTCAAAGGGTCACTACTTAGACCATGTGGACGTACAACACTTAATATTATGACTTGCAAACCATATTTTATAATCTATATAGACATTCTAGAAACACTTTCCATGGCTTAAGTCTTTCAAAGATAATAGCTTCTCGTGCTAGAAATAGCTCATGCTCTAGCACTATGGACTCTCAACTTGGAATTTTGTCGTGCAGGACCAATGGGGCAAGAAGACGACCAGAACCAGAAGGAAAGAAAAGTGAAGGAGGAGAGCCAACCAACTGTAACAACCAAAATCTGAATAGCAAGGGATGTCGTTTAGTGCAACAGGAATCGGTGTCATTTTGGTTAAGAGAAGACGGTATCGTTTGGGAAGGAAAGTTGTAATCAGTTTGTTAAATAAATCGCCTTTTATTAATCATTGTAAATGCGACTTCTTCAGTGCTTGGCTATAAATACAGCCATTGTGCGAGGAAAAACCTATCTATGAATTCTGCAAATTCTGTTACATTGTTGAGAGGATCAACAGCTTCATCTTCCTTTATTCTTCTTATTTTGCTGTTTATTCCATCACCATTCTTTTTCACTTTAATTGGTTACAATTTCTGTTCATCCAGCTGAAAGGATTCCCTAGTTAAACTGTTGGAAGATTAAGGTTGCAAGGCAAATTCCAGCTCGTGACAGATTTGACTTAACACCAGTTGAGAATGAAAAAAAATCGATACAAGTGACTGAATAACTGGTAGTGAGGTTCGCTTTTCAGATGCAAAGAAAATGAGGAATTTATCGTACCACAAACTGGGTATGGAAGTTTAAAAACAACAAAGATGGGAAATCTGAACTATCGTAACAAACTCTTAGAACTTTGTTCTCTTAACACAGGTCGTGCTCGTGACAAAATGAAGACTTAAAACCATCAAAATCTGTGATACCCGGAACTAAAGATTTTTCCAACTGCTAAATTCATTAAAAAGAACAAAATTTAAATTTTACAGAAAAATTCCAACGCCCAAAGGACCACAAATGAATCAGAAGAACCGAAACCTTGAGACATGAAGTCCTATGAACAAGCCCACAAGTGAATAATAAAAAAATAAAGGCACAAAAGTTAAGATCGGATGGGCAAACCCATTCCATCAGAAAAATAACCAAAAAACTGAGACACGAGTCCTATTTCTACAAGCCCTCAAAGTGGGAAAAAGGAAAAGGAAAAAAAAAAAACAAAGAAAGAAAGAAAAGAAAAGGCAAGTAGAGGCTGAAAGATTCAGTAAATGCGCTCCTTCATAATTTGCGTTTTTTCAATGGAAAACATGAAACACAATAATCCCAGAATCCAGCATTTTTCTAGGGAAAGTACAGTGAAGAGGAAAAAAATCAAATTTTAGCACCAGCATGTCATAAAAATCCAAACTTTCTCAAATTTTCATGAAAATGACCACGATTCACATGATATAAAGCAATCAAATCCAACATTCAAATACACCTATATGCATATTCACATTTATTGAACCCATAGGAAAAAAAGAGAGTAAAAATAAAATACAAGAAAAGATTTGCTAGGTTGGCTTCAAGAGTACCTTTCTCTTTCTGTTGAGCACAAGAAGATGAAGAAAGAAAAACCCAACGAGAAATTCTCTTTCTTCTTCAAAAGGTACGTCGATTCGTCTGATGATAAGGAAAACACGAAACTACGTTGGCTTCAGTTCACACTTTAAGGAACACACTCGGAAATACTTATTTGTAAAGCACTCGCACCCAAATTGAAGCTACACGACGTGATTATTTTATTGATTCACATGATAATTGGTAGAAATGAGGGACCCCATCCGGGAAATGGCAGTAATCTTGGCCTTTATTGAGAGTGTAATTTTTGTATTTTGTAACAGTAGACTAGTCAAATTGACGGGGGGGAGTGTTATTCATGTGATGTTTAGTTTTTCCAATGGGTGCTACGTGTTCCGGTATGATGAGGCAATCAGATGAATGTTTGGATGATTAAATGAAATTGTGATGTACGGTTGTATTACGGTTGTAGTGTATATGTACATGATGTGGTGATGTATAATTATGTCAAAATTTCTTCAATCAAATGAAAAAGAAAAATTTTAGCTCTCTTTTTAACATTCATCTGTATGAAAATCATTATATAATTGTTTATATACATGTAGCATTATTCATTATATTATTACTTGAGTGATGCTGTGGGTAGAAAAAGTGACAGATTTTTTTAAAGACATCATAATTTTTCAGATAAAAAAAATAAAGAAGAATAAAAAAGGAGCAGTTCTGCCAGCATTACCTGTATGACCGTGAGTAATTTGAATTTGTCTTCTTAGAACAATAGTGGGGCCCGCTTCAAAAATTAAAAAAAAAAAAGCATGCCCCTATTGTGAGGGTACTGTCAAACTAGCGTGACTCGAGTAATTTTCCTGTACTGATTGCTTACACGGATGGTTTGACCACTTGTCTGTAATTGAGATTGTGAGCTGTACAGTAAACATTAATGGAGTTTTTTCTTTTTTTCGAGTAATGCCTTCATTCCCAAATAGATACTTCAGCTCCCCTTTATTCCTACCCATGCGTTCCCAATTTTGACTACAAAGTGTAAAATGAATTGGAGGTGTCAAGACGGACGGGCCGACCATGACCCGTGAAAACTGGCCCGTGAAAACCGGGACCGCGGGCCAACTCGTGACCCGTGCGGGCGATTCACAGGCCAAGGAGGTGTAACCCGC